CGTTCTCATAAAATAATTGGTACTATATTTCGAAGACAGCACTTTCGAACCACTCTCACTGCTCGCTCTCTTATTAAAAATTTTACAACGACGACAAATATATATAACTGTAGTGGATCCGTACAATAACTTGTTTTTAGTGTCCTTTTGAAATTGTAAGCCGTTCTGATTCGGTACACCAATCTAACTAATTTAACTAGGTAACTATAAATTTTAACTAAGAAAAAATACCGACAAACTGAGAACCTCCTCTTTTTTCTGGAGACGGTTAAAGGTAGATAAGTATTTTTTCACAGTGTGTGAATTGAATAATCTTTTTATTAATTTTTATTTTATTATTTTCGATATCGACTTTGAGCTATTAAAGGTAACAGTAAGTCCTAATGTTTACGATAAACATACAAAGGGAAAGAAAGGGATAGAAGCATTAGAATTGTCTAATAATAGAACGAGACTTTTCCAAAAGACATCAACGCGCGACTCAACCATGTCGTTATTTCACCGGCCACCGTTTTAGATAGACCCCTACAATGGCTCATAATTTGAATAAATCAACAATAATTTTCGTATTTTTTACTTAGCAATGAAAAGTTACTCCATTCCATTACATCTGTCCTGGAATGTTTCCCACACCACTTCACCGCGCATTTTGATGCAATATAATTGCATAAAGGTTATAAAAATTTGCATTAATCTAGCGTGCACACAGGTCTAACACTTGGACAATACTAAATTGGTTAATAGTACCATTGCCGATGCATAGGCGACAAAATACTAATAGTTTTCGAGCGTCGGGGCACTGTATGCGCAGTCAAGTGGTTATATAGTCTTTGACTGAATCAAACGGCGTCAGCCAGCGCATGATGTTTTATAGTATTTTTAAAATAATTATATAAAATAATTGACAAAATAAAACGAGCTAAAATTTTTTTTGGATATTTAACATTACATGTATTTTGATAAAATAATTAAAATAGATATGTTTATAACTAAATACATGGAAAAAATTACATTGAAGTTGACAGTTTTGGTGATTTTATAATATTAAATCGAAATATTTTCGTAATTTAGATTTTGCTATACACTAAAAGACTATATATTCCATTATAATAACGCTTAAAATAAAGTATTTTAGCTTATAATAATGGTTGCATTCAACCTGAAAGATAACTCTGATGCATATTTTCGTAAAACGCTGTGAAGGGATTGTCTTCGCCCTAAAAAACCGTCATTATAAACTATGATTTTGCATTGCTATGTACTAAATAAAGACTTCATCTTTCTAAAGCCCTAATTTTCAGCAAATAATCTCCTCATGTCGTTACGATATCGCCTTTGGAAAAACCATAAAACATGTAGTTTGCGACGCGAAACGCATATATGCCCTCTTAAGTCACACGGTGGAAAACAAAAAATTTTATACAGGTAAAAAATATTCTAATAAAGATAAGTTCAAATGGCATCAAGGCGTAATTATACGAAAACTTGGTAAAATTATATACTTAATCCGAGACTCAATGTTAAATAATGTTTTAAAAAAACATGTACCTAAATCAAATAATTTTAAACAAAGGCAGGTCTCTGTCACTCTTGCTACCTGCATGAAATAATTACCTAAAATCGCGACGCGCCAGGGCGAAATAACGCAGTCAGGGCTAGCGCGTTGTATAGGCGATTCAATGTTAGTTTTTTTAACGTTGTTTACGTAAATAGTTTTATGTAAATACTTGTTGAAATAGTTTTTGTTTAGTGTTTAGTATATTTAATTGTAGGTAAAAATAGTTTAAGTTTTAATGTATTTTAAAAATTGGTAACTAACTTACTCGAATATCTGTACTGCGGGTTCTTTGACAATCCTCTTACTCCTCGGCCAATGCAGAGATAATAAAACCACATACAATTTGCAAATAATTATTTTTTAAAATGTTTTTTTGAAAAAAAAAATATTTCTACACGCTTGGATACTGATTCTGATAACGCAGTTAACGGGAACCACAGGGTTTTTGTTACATGTTGTATAATGTAAAACATATAACATCCTCACTACAGGGGGAGGAATGTTGTGTATGTACGCGGCTGCGTCCGTGCCCAATAATATTGCTTGCAAATAAAGTAGTACGTTGACAGTCGTCAAGTGTTTCACTCATCATGCGCTCCGTATCGCGAACTAAACAAGGACTAAGATAGAATGCCTCCTTTCTAGTAAAAAGGGTCTCCGGTTCTCTACACTCATCATATGAAACACAGCAGCATTAAGCTACTATTTTACGAATGTATTCTGTGAGAGCGTGGTCCTTCCCCAGTCGAGCCGATCTATTCGTGCTACAACTATACTACTAATATAACTGAAAATAGATAATATCTACTAACAACGGGTTTGACAGAACTTAGCTCCGACCGCATGGACAGTTTCCACAAGCTAGTCACTTCACTGCAGTCTCATAGGCACTGAAAAAGATTTTGTAATTGTAACTCGAGCTGAAAGTTTTTGGGGCTTTGGATTAGAGCATGTTATTACCCCCAGCACACTCGTAGTGCTATTACGATGTCTCAGAATTACTTCCGAGCCATCATCCTTCTCGAGGGTTACATCACTAGGTATTCGAGGCCCTCGCCCCATACGCCCTGTAACCCTAAAGGCCCCGTTTCTGGAGAACACCATCTTCAAGAGGAAGGCTGATACAAACGCTTTGACTGACTTTGACTTCATTGGACGTGACCACTCCAACTTCAGGTTTAGGTTCAGTGTGCCTTTCATCATTCGGTGATCGCTTCTTGTTTTCACCCTTGCGATCACTGAGACATCACTGAACAGTTGTCGTCTGGTTATCATATTGAAGTCAATCTCATTTTTTGTCGAATCGAATAAAAGAATTATTGAATAAAAAAATTAAATTAAATTATATAGGCATAGGCCGAAGTTGTCAACACAAATTAAATATAACTTTAATTTGGATAAAAATAATATAGTACTCGTTAAATTTTTTATGTCATTTGAAAGGTTATTAAAAATTTTAAGTGCTATACAGTAGGGACTGGTAGGGACTAGAGTTATGCAAAGCAAGAGTAGATTCCGGTAGTAGTAGCCTATTTTTATTTGGTCTAATTGAGTATTTGTAATTTGTTTTTACAAATTTTTATGTTTACCAAATATAAATAGACGTCAAAGTCAAAATTTTAAAGTTTTTGAAGTGGGGCTTACAACTTTCTGGAATTTTTATGTTTGCCAAGATTCTTATATTTTTTTTGCATTATAAATAATTGCTGTGCATCTTTACTTTTTCCCCACAACATGACACCGTATGACAGCCACAAAGATGTGTATGCGTAATATGCTGGCAGAGTGCTGGGGACATCTGTGGTTTTCTTTATTTCTCGTAATACGTAAGTGAATTTTGATAGTCTATTTTTTACTTCATTTATATGGGCTTTTCAGTTTATATGGCAGTCGATTTCCAGGCCTAAGAAGTGAAGTTGTCAACAGTTCCTATAGGTATACTATTATAAGCGATATTTAGTCGTGATTTTTGAACTGGTCGGAATTGCATAATTTTGGTTTTATTAAAATTAATCTCTAGGTTGTGATGTGTCAGCCAATTTGTAACCTGGTTCAATACTTGATTCAATTTATTATTTAAATTCTGGTCTTTTGTATGCGGAATAAGAATGGAAATGTCATCAGCAAATATAATAGAGGTTTCAGTCAATACCCTAGATTGAGAAAGAAAATCGCACAACACAAAATGTAAAATTGCTTTTCATACCTTAAGAAAAAATAAACATTTATTATTTGTAATTTTATATTATTAAAGTAAAAAAATTCATCATCATCGACGCTTTCCAAAATGCGAATGAATTCTGAGGAATCGTTCATGTTGCACTGCACTACTTTTTCCGCTATTCGTTTATGACGTCATCAGGGTGTCGTCTATCCTTGACCACGGCGCCCAATGAACTGATAACTGATAATCGATGACGCGCTAAGGATACGCCAGAGTTGAGATATTAGATTTATTATGCGAAGTTAATTTGATCAAATCTTCTTTTATTTATGTAGCTGATGCTAGTTTTACGTTTCTTACCTTTTATTTTATTCAAATATCAATAATAATTTAAAAAACTAACACGTTTGCGTTTAATTTTGATAGTTTTGTTCTGAAATTTGAATAGTTTTCAATAAATCTATGCCTAACACATTACAACACTAGCGGTCAAACATAGACGACTTTGGCGTGCTGGACATGGTATTTGCTTAGATAAAAATCAATTTTTTTTAGTTCAATGTTTCTTAGTACTCATGGCTCTAGGAGACTTGTTTTTTATACTCACATGTTGCTGGGTTATTCTTTTTTGAGAAGTGTAGAATTAAAATTCCAGTAATAATTTTCCAATATCCATATTTCATATTTTTGTGGGCCGGGTTTTTTGTCAACTATAGACGTCGTTGGCGCTCAGAGCTCGCAGGTGCTGGTCAAGTATAGGCGACTTTGGCGCTCAAAAGGTTAAATGTCCACTCAACAGCATATACCACTGGATGGGTTATAAAAAAAAATTTGCAAAATAAATTGCCAAGAATATGAGACTCATTTATGTACAAAAAGAGAAAGATACATGGAGCGCTACATACATGTCAAGCAATGCCGAAACCATGCTTAACTTCTTGACGCCCACACGCACAATGTATTCCTCCTGTTTATCAGGCCGTAAGTTCACTGTTGGACACACACATATGCACCTAAAACCATGTTGTTGTTTTCTATTGCTTTTAGATGCACACAAGTAGGTTAGTAAGATTTCTTATTATATGTTGAGCAGGTGGCTTGGTGCATCTAAAATGTAGGCAAAGCTTTTCTTTGTTGGTCTGTCCTTGTATGTAGATAGCATCATTTTGTAAAACAATAAAATTTATTAATAATGGTGAAATAAACAAAACAACAAATATATTACAAAATATATTAATGGTTTATACTTATATAAATATATGTATGTATATAGTATATTTACACTTCATTTAAAGCTTCCATGGTTACTTTTTTAATGACACTGGCAAATAAAGATTTTATGGCAGCACCTGGATAAGATTCACTGTCAGCAAAATTGGCAGATAGGCTGTGGAATGTTTTATTCATTATAGATTTTACCTTCCTTCTAAAATCATTACTGTTTTGTAAGGATAGGCTTTTTAAATCTTCAGATAAAGTTGCTAATTGTTTATTTTTAGAGCACAACTCTTCTTTTAATAAATTAATTTCTTTAAATTGTTCTTCTTGCTTTTTGTCGCTTGCTTTGTTATATGATTCGAACTTTGCCTGCAAAGTTTTCAATTCATTTTGTAGAAAAGCATTTTCTATATCCTTTTCGTCAATAATTTTTTCAAGTTCCTCAATTTTATTTTTATGTGAATCTATATCATTTTGCATATTATTATCTTCTCCATGTTGTCTGTAGGATTTCAAAATAGTGACATAATTTAGTCCTTTTGATACTAAGTAGTTTTCATAAGTTTTTATTTTATTTTCATATTCATTTAACAGCTTTTGAATGATGTCACTTTGAAAATTAATTGTATTGCTGTTACTTTCTGTTTCTCCAATACTTTGAATACCTTCTAATACTTTGTCCATTTTATCTGCCAATCTATTTATATTAATACGCAATTCACTATTGCTTATTCTCTGTTCAGACATAAATAAATTTAAGTCATTTGAATTATTTATTATAGGGTTGGTTATTATATTAGTACAAGTAGGTACAAGTTGTTGATCAAAATTATTCGCTGAAATATTATCAGAGTATAAGTTTGAGGCTCTTTTTTCCAAATTAACCTCTGTAGAACTATCTTTATTTAGGTCTACTTTTTTATTAAAATTTCTTTTCGAATTGATTTTCTGAAATTTATGTCTAATAATTTTTTGTGAAGTTTCATCTGTGTCTGAAGACTCATCAGATCTTGGTAATGTTACAGCTTGCATTGGCAGCACTGATTGACCCATTGTAGCCATCCTTTTTAAAATTGAATCCTTGGTTCTTATCTTTATTGAAGAATTGGTATCACTTTCTTCATCCTTGAGAATCTGACTAGAAACAATATTATCATCATGTTTTTTAGTAGTAATATTTTCTGGACCACTTTCTGTTTGCAGTAACTTATTTATTTGAATGTTAAATGGTTTTAATTTTTCAATGAATTTAGAAATTTCTACATCTGTTCCATACAAGCTCCAATAATTTTTATAATTATCATAATATGATAAGTTTGAATTTCCTTTTATGTTTATCTCAAGCTCAGGGGAAATATTTGTACATGACAAAGTCAATTTATTACAATCGTATAAAATTATGTTATAGTGTTCAGTTTTCACGGATTTTACTATAGCAGCACCCAATTTTCCTCTAGAAGCATATGTATTGTTAACCCTGTAAATAAACAATTTTATGTAATTCATATTTTTAATAAATAAACAGGGGTCAATTTCAACACCATCCATTTCTGAGAAGGAAGAAAGATATAAGGCGATAAGTATGCCGTGCAGCTCTCTTGTGTGTTGGCAGACTTAAAATGAGTTTTAAATATTTTGTTTTTAGACATTCCGGCCTCACAATGTCAGCACTTAAATTGCAATTAACAATAAATTACAATATAAAAAAAATCTGTGAAGGCGGGGATAGATCATAAGTAGCTGGCTTTCTATAAAATTTACGGTGAGCGCTTAAAGCTGAAGTACAACCCTTAAAAAAACAATTAAAGAAAATAATTTACTACATTATTTATTTATTTTGTGTACCTCTTTATTAAAATCATTTCTAAAACACTATTAGAGTATGTTTAGAAATAAATAGTGCACTGAAATCATGGTGAAAACCTAGTATTGGCTTTGTACTATTCATCATTCTTAATTCTATGACCACCACTATTTGATACATACATATGATTTTACCTAATTATAATTCAATTTTGTTCTATAATAAAATTCAAGATGCTGCACAGTAAAAATTATCAAGTAGATATAGCCGCTAAAGGATAACTTGGGATCTAGGCTTTGTAGAGAAATCTGTAAAAAACACATTACTTATCTGTACATTTAGCAAAGAATAGAATTACGATATTCTTTTCAAACAATGGGACGGGATACAGTCGAAATATATAATCATGAATAGTATGATATCTCTGCTACATTACATTGGTACAGTAACAGTATATCATCATCATCATCATCATTACAGCCCTTCACAAGTCCAGTGCTGAACATAGGCCTCCCCCAACTAATGCCACAAAGCACGGTCCTGAGCCACCTGTATCCATCAACTTCCTGCATGTCTTACCAGATTGTCACTCCAGCTAGTGGGGGGTCACCCTACACTTCGCCTACCGGTATGAGTCTGCCACTCGAGAACCTTTCTTCCCCATCGGTTATCGGTTCTTCGAGCTATAAGGCCAGCCACTTGCCACTTCAGCTTACTAATCCGTTGGGCTATGTCGGTCGGTAAAACAGCATATCAACACATGGGAATTCCAATCCCACCTTATTTCTCAGGGTTGATAATACGCCTTCATTACAATGGATATGGGTATCTATAGGTCTTTGAAAACATAATCTACCAATAACAACAGAAAACATTGAAGCATTAAGTGGAAATGCTAATGAATTTGTCATCAACAAGTGTTTATACAACCATACTAAATCCATCTTACCATTCATAGCCAAAGAAAGTAGAGGCGTATATAATTTGAGTTGCCTTAGATTCTTCTTGTTTTGGTGCTGAATTTTGTGGTGGTATCGGAACATATTTTAAAGACACATCATCTTTTTCCTCTACGCGTGTATCGCTGCCAAAAATGTTTGCTAATGTTGTGCTGGAATTTTAAAATATCAATAAAAGAAACAAAACCTTTAAAATAGACAATGTTATTTAATAGTAAAAGGAAAAATATGTCACCTTGCTACTGGAGTAAAATAATCAATATCAACTTCGTCAGCTTCCAACATTTTCGTTTAATATTTTGTGTGGCCAATACACCATTGCCGGTTTTTCACAAATTTGTAAGATGATGGATATACTCAAGAAATGCCTTTGTAATTTATATTTAATCCATATCCATTTTCCATCTCAATTTCAGGTATTCAGACAATGGTATACAAAAAGTACTCTGTGCAGTGTGCATCTCAGTATGTTTTTTATTAACTGTCTTTATGGCTCTGGGTTCTAGTCCTTCTGAGCCTGAAGTTACAATGTCTCCGTATGTATGTACTTAATATCACAGTCCATGGAGGTTAGAAAACAGGAGAACGATGGCTACGTACTAAAGCATAGTTCGCCTGTCCTTGCAAATTTGTAGAATTTATAGCGGCGCTTTCGTCGGTGAGTAGTGGCTGTGAAATTAGCTGTTTATAAGTACAAGTAAATGAAGTTGATGAGAAAATAATCGCGATCCGTAATTTTTTAATTTTTGACAAAAAGAAACGTTAAAAAACGGTGAAATATTGTATTGGGCGTGGACGTGGAAGTAGCTTAGCATTTGATCGGAAAAATAGGAAAATGACTTTTATTGAGAGAACTTAACGGTCGCAGCGCCATTTTTTTGTCCATATTTCTGGGACATTATTTTATACAGCGATCGTTCTTCTTCTCTTTAACCTCCATGTCACTGACTAAGGATTCCACCCGTAGACAGTGAAACCTATAGACAAATTGACGCCTTATTTCGCATTAGCACACGAAAAAGATAGATTTATGCATACGTCTTGCATAGAAATGAGACAGAGCGCTGTGATTGTTTGTCCCTTTGTCTGTGCCGGTTTTTTTGTTAAGCAAACTACAAGACATTACGTCTTTAATCTATAGTGATTTCTTTCGCAACGCTAGCTTTTTTTATAGGAGAGGGGGCAAACGAGCATACGGCTCACCTAATGGTAAGTGATTACCGCCGACCATGAACAGCAACACCAAGGGGATTGCAGATGATTTGCCAGCCTTTTAAAAAGGAATAGGCTCTTTTCTTGAAGGTCCCTAAGCCGTATCGGTCCAGAAAAATCTCTGGTAGTAGTTGATTTCAAAAGGAAGTTGTGCAAGGAAGAAAACTTCTTTTAAATCACTTAGTGGTGGACCGCCAGTCATCCAGATGGCATGGATGGTTTCGCAAGTTTTGTCGCTATGCGCAATATTGAAACTGTGTGGCTGAAATTAGTCCGAACAATTCCTCACAGCACTTCCCGTGGTAGATGCGTTAAAATACGCAAAGAGATGCAATATCTCTTCGCAGTGCCAGTGAGACAAGCCGATCGGAAAGAGCTCGGTTGCCGAAGATTCGATTCGATTCAAAGCTACAAGCGACATATACTCGTTTTCGTTTACTTATTTATTGTTATTACTTTATATGCCTAAAAATATTTAAAAAAATATAGGACTAGACTTATTATTATTCGAACGATGAAATTGATTTCTAAATCAAACCTTAAAAAATAATAATTGGGGAGGTATCAATACTTAGTCCTGAAAGACACACGTTACATGAGCGAGTTGGATCCCATTTGTAATTCTAATTTTATATCCTGACTAACATCCGCCCAGGCTTTACGCGACTGTTTTCTAGATCTCGACAACAATGCTATTTACCACGTCCAATTGTATGTGTGAGTGTTCATCGAAAACTGTCCATCCTTTCTTAAGTGATGATCTTTCATACAAGCTGAAATTAATTTTTATTTATATAGATACACTTGCCAACCATCGATTATATTCAACAAAGTTTTATAAATATTTTCATCCAAGCCCCCTCGGATGAAAATATTTCTGAATCATGAAGGTAAAGCCGACCGCAGCCTGCCCGTAATGCTAGATCACAACTAACAATAAATCGATTACGAACGTATTACCCGTTTTCTCTCTGTTCCTTCAAGATCTTATCAATCAAAACTCCACTGCTGAAAATAGAGGGAACATATCCTTAGTTCCCTCTCTTAGCAAGTGGTTTGGCAACCGTTTTTCCTGGAGAAGGGTGACAAACGAGCACACATTCCACCTGACGGTATGAGATTGCTGTGGTCCATAGACATCTACATCTATCCTCGATTACGAATCAAAATGCAGATGCGTTGTCACCCGTGAGGATTAAGATAGAATGCCTTGGTCTCCAGTTCTCTACACTCACCATATGATACTGAACTTGAACTGAACTGACCAACTTTGATATATTTTTGCGACATCAAATTCGTGATAATCACCGTTCGCAAATTTTACTATCTTCGAATAGTTGTTTATTTCGTAACCTTTGACGGCAAGCCAAAACATCGTTCGTAAAAGTGAAACATTGCTCATGAAGAACCATATTAATGAACGATATATCAATGTTTGAATGAATCGATGTATTGCTTGCATCCCTAGTCGCATATCGAATAAGTGCCCTAACTGTCCCAATTATTATTACCCTGCACTGTGGCAAGGGCGCTGCAGACAGGGTCCGTTTTGATGCCCTAATTAGGGACCCTTACTCCCTTTGTCTTATTACACCACCCTGATTAAGGACTGATTCAGGGTAGTGTAATAGGGGTATATCCTATGTACATAACCGTCATTACCAGTAGTCGGATTAGGGTGAGTATATTTACCAACAGTTTGTAGAACAGAGACAAAAATCGTAGACTTCCTTATAATAAATATTTTTTTGGTAGTAACGTGAATTTAAACATCTTTTTATTAATATTTAAATTATAAATGCTTATCGTTTCTACACGGCTGCTTAAAAAAAGGAGTGCAAGGTTTGCATTGTACACGCGATCTTTATTTCTTTAATCCACCATAACTTCTGATCTTCCAAATGGATTTAGGTGTATTGTATATCGTTAGAATCATTACATTGGCTTGAGTTACACTATTTTATTTTATGATGTCATTCACGGCAAAATTTACCTACATGTTTTTATTTGGTGGCTCTATCACGCTGTTCTCAAATTGTAGAAAAAAATGAGGTTAAAAGGTAGCCACTTTCTAAAATAAATTCAATTGTAAATTTTTTAGATTTATTTATTGTCAAATGAAACATCAATGAAACAAATAAATAATAAGAACTGCAATTTGTCTCCTAAAATAAAAATTTAAAACTAAAATTCAGTCAAATAACTAAAAAAATAAATAATTCATAAATCAAAGTCGTCATTAACAGTACTATGACTCATTTTGTTATCTTGTAGGAAATTAAAGTAGATCATCATTATTTTTTCAATATTTTTGACATTCAGTCCGTTTGATTTACATTTAAAACCCATTTATAAATTTAAAAGGATCTCTCAACATCCACAGATGTGAGTGATGAATATTTGTAAAAAAGATCATCGTCATCTACTTCAATTTTCTTACAATTTTTTCACCTTTTTCCCGAATCATGTTGTAATCTGAATTACGTTCTAGGACTAGCTCTAGATTATTTTCGATTACTTTAGAACTCCAGCTTAAAATACATCTAACGTTGTCTATAATTTCTAAGCACTCTGATATAGATAACTGGGGTTTTTTGAAGTTTAGTTATTGCTTCTTCGATAAAAGTGAAGTTTTCTTTTAGAAAATTCAGATCTAATTGAATGTTTTCTTCGTCAATAGCTTTTTGCTTTCCTTATGGACAAGGCTATTAAGACAATTTAATACATTTAATATTTGATAGAATCGTTACTTTGCGGAAATATATTATAATAAAGATATTAATGGTTACTTTGCAATCATCCGCTTAGTTAACCAAAATGATGTGTTTTACCTAGTTTGAAGAGCACCTCCACATACTTTTGGTTGATTGAGCGGATGGTTGCAAAGTAACTATTAATATCTTTATTACATTGGATATTTCCTGAAAGTATATTGATAAGTAACTCGCTGCCTTCAGCCATGTAACCCATCTTGTCAGTACGGGTTGTGGTGGAAGTGATATATTAGGGTACATGTTTTTGAATATTTTCACTCTGTTGGTTGATTTTAAAAGTATCTTCTTTATATTTATTATCAAAGTATTAACATTTTCTTATTCATAACGAACTTTTCCTGATACTCTATTTAATGCGTGTGCTAAACATGTGATATCAAGCATGTTGGGAAAATCATGTTTTAATAAACGTTCGACTGTCGACATATATGCGACGCTGTCAGTGAACATGGCATTAAAACATTATTTAATTTTTCTGAACTTTATTCACGCCACATTTCACTTATAGATTCTGTAACAAATTGGGCTATTGTTCCCCCATTTACTGTTTCTAGTATTTTACAAGCAATCAAGTATGGTTGAGTTGCAACATTTTTATGACAGGCATTATCATTAAATGCACTATATATCTGCCGATAAAATCGGTTGTTTCGTAAAGTGATATCCATACTTTATTGTTTCCTATAGCATTATAAATTGACTTTAATTGATTTTTGAAAGACAATATCTAAGTATTTTTTTAACAGAGATTCAGATGTGACCTTCTTTTTTGGGAAAATACATATTGTCCCTTGCCTGTGCCAGCCCGGCTGGCTATGATTTTTTCCACTATGCACGAGGCAAGTATCGTTAACATAATTGTATATTCTACAATTCTTGATAACATTTATCATGCTGTTGACGTGCATTCAGTCGGTACACCAAATTTTTCTTTTCCTATCCTACTATCCACTCCGTTTACACGAACAACATTATTTCTATTTGCTAAATACTTTTTAAACCATGTTTTCACTGGACCTTATTCCACATTCATCCATGGCCTGCAACAAGCACTCGTGTTTCAAAGTATCGAACGCCTTTTCAAAATCTAAAAATAGAGCTACTACGATATTTTTTTTATTTAACGAGTTGCTACATCATCTGAAAATGCTGTCAAGGCCGTCGTTGTACTTTTATTTATTCTAAACCCAAATTGAAATTCTGTAAAATTTTTTTTCAAGAAACATACCCATTTATTTGATTAATATTTTTTCAAATATTTTATGTATGATACTTAATAGTGTATTCTTTGTGTGATCC